CATGGCATTACTGTCCTCGATTGGCCTGCAAATTCCCCTGACCTGAACCCCATAGAGAATATGTGGGGTATTGTGAAGAAGAAGCTGAAAGACACCAGACCCAACAATGCTAATGAGCTAAAGGCCGCTATTGAAGCATCCTGGGCATCCATAACACCTCAGCAATGCCACAGGCTGATTGCCTCCATGCCACGCCGCATTGATGCAGTAATCCGTGCAAAAGGATTCCCAACCAAGTACTGAGTGCATTAATGGACATTTTCAAATGTTTGATTGTGTTTTGCTGTTATAAATCTTTTTTTTTTACTTGGTCTGAGGAACTATTCTAATTTTTTGAGATAGGATTTTTGAGTTTTCTTAAGCTGTATGCCATAATCAGCAATATTAAAATAATAAAAGGCTTGCAATATTTCAGTTGATTTGTAATGAATCCAGAATGTATGACATTTTTGTTTTTTTAATTGCATTACAGAAAATAAAGAACTTTATCACAATATTCTAATTTTCTGAGACAGTCCTGTATATCAACCAGTGCTTTCTTAGGCTAAAAGCCATTGAATTACGGTGGGAATAACATTTCGATCTGAACTACGCCGATGAGTTCAGTAGAAAACTGGTCCCCTCTTTTCATCCTTTTTTTGTGTTTGCTACTAGCCAAATGCATCGACCACTACACCAAGCTGCGGGTGGAGAATGCTGAGATGCCAGAGGAGGAGGAGAAGAAAAGCATCGACCCCCGCCTTGAGGGCATTGTCAACAAGATGTTCCTGCGTTGCCTAGACGATCACAAGTACAAGCAGGCCATTGGCATCGCCCTGGAGACCAGACGGCTTGACATGTTTGAAAAGACCATCTTGGAATCGGTCAGTTATTGCTTTTACTGCTAGTTTGAAATATAAACTGTTAGATTTAGTAATAACCAAAAGTCTAGCATACCTTGATAATACCCCAAAATACAGAAATGACAGGATTCACTATTTTTTTTTTTTACATCATAGTTCTCACAAAACATTTTCTAAATGAGTTACTGCTGTACAGAATAATGTATTTCTTCTCATGAAACAAGTTATTAATTGTTACTTTTTTCTCTCCTCTCATGCAGACTGATGTGAGTGGTCTCCTCGCCTACAGCCTGAAGGTGTGCATGTCCCTGATGCAGAACAAGAAGTTCCGTAACGAGGTGCTGCGGGTGCTGGTCAAGCTCTACATGAACTTGGAGAAGCCTGATTTCATCAATGTCTGTCAGGTAACGATCAGATCCTAAAAAACGTTATGCATCATCTCCCTGAATAACTCCTTAGTGTAACAGATATATACAGTAAGTTCTTGATTAGACAGATTGTTTCCAATAAGTTATGTTCCGTCATTATTTAGTTTAAGATTTCTGATAAAAATCCTGATCACAAACCTTCATTGGAAAGGATACTTTTAGGATACAGTTTCATTGTGGTTTTAGAATTTGCAATTATCAATAAGTTGTCATTCCATAAACTGTCAGAACCTTAAAATCCATCTCTAATAATTTGTTCTCTTCCCCTCTCTAGTGCCTGATATTCCTGGATGACCCTCAGGCTGTGAGTGACATCCTAGAGAAACTAGTGAAGGAGGACAACCTGCTGATGGCCTATCAGATCTGCTTCGACCTGTATGAGAGCGCCAGCCAGCAGTTCCTCTCCTCCGTCATCCAGAACCTGCGCACAGTTGGAACCCCTATCCCCGCAGTCCCTGGCTCCACAAACACAGGCACTGTGCCCACACCAGACAAAGACAGGTGGGCAGGAGAATAAAACACACACATACACCTAGGCTGAAGCTAGGCCAATTACAGTTCATATATGGGATCTGATAGGCAATTAACTGAAACTGTAAACTAAACTTATTTGGGTTAAATTAGTCACTAAAAATGTGTTTTGTTTTTTACAGTGATGCAATGGAGACAGATGACAAAGCAGGCAGCTCACCTGCTGGAAAGCCGGTAGAAACGGTAAGGTCGTTTTTAGATCGTTTTGTACTGCAGCAGTTTTTTCATACCGTGTCCTTGTAATTTTGCTGTATCTGAATTGAGCAACTGTATTCCATGTAAAACTTTGATTGAGTTGACAGATCATTATATTGCTTCATTTGTTTTTGTAGAAAGATGATCCCAAAGACCAAAACGCCAAGATGATCAAAATCCTTAGCGGGGAGATGGCCATTGAGCTTCACTTGCAGTTCCTCATCCGAAATAACAACACAGATCTAATGATCCTCAAAAACACAAAAGTAATGTAGCTAACAACAAGATAAATGGCTCACAGAAGACAAATGATTATACTATTGTTTACATGATCAGATGAACTTCAGCTTTAGTTGGCTTTAATTCTTGTTTTCTCCGTCACTCTAGGATGCGGTCCGAAATTCGGTGTGCCACACAGCCACAGTAATAGCCAACTCTTTCATGCACACGGGAACCACAAGTGACCAGTTCCTCAGGTAATTTGGTTGGCAGCATATAATTGTATATTTCGTAGATTACACAACGACATGGAAAAACCTATTTACCCTAAGCAACATTTGATTAAATGTTTTGTTTGACCTTGTAGAGAAAACTTGGAATGGCTTGCGAGGGCGACCAACTGGGCCAAGTTCACAGCCACAGCAAGTCTGGGTGTCATCCACAAGGTATGTCCCTATGATTATAATATAAAGCAATGAAATATTTGTATTCCATATTTAATTTTAAACGTAACCTTCTGTGTTTTTCAGGGTCACGAGAAGGAGGCTCTCCAGTTAATGGCCACCTACTTGCCCAAAGACACTTCCCCTGGCTCAGCCTATCAGGAAGGAGGAGGCTTGTACGCTCTGGGACTCATTCATGCCAACCATGGCGGAGACATCATCGACTATCTGCTCAGTCAGCTCAAGAACGCCAGCAATGATGTGAGTTTTTTGTTGTTCACTTTGTAGGTTATTTTTTAGTATAAACTAGAATGTCACAGGCTTCTCCAACAGCGCAACATAACAACACAGATAAACAGAAAAATATAGTGCAAGTAAATAGTAATATATAAAAAGAAAAATAGTTTAAAAAAGTGAAATAGTGCAATAAGAGTCTATATGCAAGTTATTGGAATATGATATATTGGATAAATAATTACTAAGTAGTAGGGGTGTAACGGTTCACAAACAGTTCGGTACGTACCTCGGTTTTTAGGTCACGGTTCTGTTCGGTACGTTTTCGGTACAGCAGAAAAATGTATCACAAAACATAAAATATATATATTTTTATTATTATTAAACTGTGAATAATGTATTCACTCAAATAAATACAAAATAAAATAAACATTAAGGTGCAGCATTTCGATGAACTGAAATAATCTGTATTTGAACTGTAACATTAAGACTTGCTTGTCATTGTATTTTCATGTTTTTTTTAAAGAAAAATTAACTTTTCCACATTGCTTGCCGAAAGGGCTGATCTGCTGGTACTAACAATGTCTCCTGCTGTGGAGAACACCCTCGCTAGGGACAGAGGTAGCAGATACAGCCAGGTAGCGCTTTGCTAACATGGCAACATAAGGATATTTGGCGTTTGTAATAGCTTTGGCTCGGTCTGAACATTTTGCGAGTGGTGGAGGCTTAAATGCTAGTGGGAGTTGGGTTTGCACTTCAGTCTTTTTTCTTTTGGTACCGGTGATATTCATGTTCGGGTGATGCCTTTTCAAATGAGTGTGCAAGTTTGATTTATTGCCAGCCGCGTAACCAATTTCAGTTCAAAAATGTCGACAAACAGCTTTGGTTCGGTCCACCTGCCTTTGTCCGTCATCCTTGTACGTAACTGCGAAACCAGAATGTTCCCAAACTGGAGACTTCAATGATGCTGGAGGATTTTCGAGCTCAACTTTATCTGCGCTCGCCATTTCGACAGTTTCTCAAATTACTGACTAAATTTGAACGCATCCCTGTGACCAGTTCTCATAGTATGCCTCTCGTCCAATGAAATGACTTGGTCGCTCTATGACGCGTTGAACCCAATGTGAGCAAATTACTCTGAATGCTGCGACGCAGCACCTGAGATTACTTCCAAGAAGTTGTTCACGTTCTCAATTTTTTACGTTTAACGTTATATTTGTTCGGTACCGTCGGTACGAATACGTATACCGTTACACCCCTAGTAGGCCTACTTATTTCTGATGCTCTTAAATCTTACATTTGAATTTAATCGGACTGAGATAAACAACGGATCTAAACCTAAAACGATTTTACTCAGATAACTGTCAGTTTCAGCTACTTGCCTAAAAAAGTTACCTAAGTTATTGAAAATGTTGAGACACAACATCACAACATATCTAAGCATTACACATCAAAAAGCCATTGGTGGGAAAAATTACTGTCCACATACTGGGTTTGAACAATGGCAATTATTACTTGTGTTTTATTATTTAACTTCATATAAGAGAACATAATGTACAAGATGCAACCAATATTAGCCTGTCAATACTAGCCTGTCAATACTAGCCTGTCAATATTGTCAACTGTTCAAGTCAAGAAACACTGTACAGGCCTCAATATGCATAACGTCCACTCCATCAGATTGCTTTGTGTTGTGTTCACCACCCTAATGTGATGAAGCCATTATGAGGGGACTCTCCAACACACTCTCACTCCATAATCGTCCAGGAGCGACGTTTGGTCAGGGTCCCGTGGCGTGCAGTTGTGACGCTCCTAGGCTCCTTCAGCTTCATAAAGGGATGCAAATAGCTTTCAACTGATTGCAATGTATTCCCATCTGCTGCGGGATTTGACGCTCATGGAAGCACGGCATTCGTTTGTGTCGCCTGCCCTTAAAGGCAATGTGAGCGTCCATTCCCATTGGATAACGGAGAATTTTACACCCGGAAGTANACTGCTGTCCAGAGGACCGTCATTGACACCCTCCATCAGGAGGGTAAGACTTGAAACTGCACTCTGTGAACAGCTTGCTCTTTGAGAAATTTCTTTTTGTGTCTTACCCTCCTGATGGAGGGTGTCAATGACGGTCCTCTGGACAGCAGTCAGATCAGCAGTCTTCCCCATACTTGTGATTTAGTTTACTGAACCAAGCTGAGTGTTTTTCAAGGCTCAGGAAACCCTTGCAGGTGTTTCGAGTTAATTAGACGATTCAAGTGATTCGTTGAACACCCTACTAGTATACTTTTTCATGATATTCTAATATTTAGAGATAGGATATTTGAGTTTTCTTAAGCTGTATGCCATAATCAGCAATATTAAAATAATAAAAGGCTTGCAATATTTCAGTTGATTTGTAATGAATCCAGAATGTATGACATTTTTGTTTTTTTAATTGCATTACAGAAAATAAAGAACTTTATCACAATATTCTAATTTTCTGAGACAGTCCTGTATAAGCTGAATGAGGTGAAGTACTTTTGATTAAACACTTACCAATGATGGTCTCCACATATTCTGAATCATCAGTCACATTGAAGAGATCTCCAGCACCGAGAGCGTAGTTCAGAGATTCCTCAAAGGCTCCGAGGTGGTAGAAAACCTTAGAGGCCACCAGAGCAGCAAACGCTCTGCTGCGAAACGTCTCATCTTCATACAGGACCTCGCTGTTTACATAGAGCACAAGAGCAAAAATGTGATGAAGAAAAAGTTGACCTCAAAGGCATCTTGATGCTTAACTATTGAATGTAAATGTTTGCATCTAAATGAAATTGTTCCGTCCAACAGAGAAATTGTGAGCAGCAGAAATGAGAAAGGTTGCAGATATGTGCTTTATAAAACTATTCTACTCAATCATACACGCTGGAAGAATATTCTGCATGCGACCTGCGATTATGGGGCACATTGCACTGCTATATTTAGTCTTTGTCTTTACATCGAGTGTGTCAATACTTAAAGTAAGTGCTGTCTAATGTACCTGTTTTATGTCATATAAAGCGGTCAAGCTCTTATAGTCTAGCATAGTACTTACATTTTATCTACGGATCCAGAAATCTCTGCCCAGAAGTCATTTACAATGGCATTGAGCTTCTGCAGTGCAAACTCCTGCAAGTAAAAACAGACAGATATGATGAATATACATTATAAACAAAACATAACTATGTTGTTTACTTTTGTGAAACTGCAATGTTGTTCTTATGAGCATAGTTTCAAAGTGTTACATAGTTTGGGTCCATGAAGAATAGCATGAGGTTGACAGAAAAAAAATATTTTTGCAAACTAACGCAGCAAAAACAACCATGCAAAATAACTGGGTCATAGGGTATTCTAAAGCTGTTTTGCACAACTACACTGAACTACATTTTTATGTGAAAAACAAGTGAAGCATTTCAAAAAGCTGACCAAAAAAATGAATATAAAATGTGAGGCTTGCATGGTCAAGCAGACAGAAGATGCTTGACATGATATGATAACATCACGCCTGTATGGAAGTTGATACAATTAAATGACATCTTATGTCCTGTAAAAGAGTTCTTACCTTGAGCTGAGGCTCCTCCTCATCAAGGAGTGATATAATTCCAGCTTTAAAAAAAGAGAGAAACAAAATTGGTTGCTTGTTACTTTAGAGTTCATATTCTTTCACTTTTGAAATATATACAATATATGTAGGCAGTAAAACAAAAAGCTTTAAATAAAACATATAACGCCTAAATGACAAACAAAGTAGTTGCCCATAATTGTCAGACATTAGTTCACACATGTACGCGTTGAAAAGGCATTATCAAAAATACTGGTAGTAGCACATATTAAAATGTTATGTTAGGATATTTTATATCAACAGCTTATAAAGTCAAATGCAAAAAACAAATAGAACTGAAAAGAAAAGGGTCGATGCTGTAATCGGAGTCCGTTTTGCACAATTACACTTTAATGTAAAATAAATTGAGGGTGTTATTATTTAAGTGTTTATTTGAGGATTATTTCAGTGTTTATTTGAGGATTCCAAGATACATAAAAACATTTCCGTACATGTATACAAATGAACTTGATCACCTTGTTTTCGAAGCTAAAGAGCCAACATGCTAGTGCAGTTATGACTTGTCATTAGCATTGACGTTTCATCAACCAAGTACACCTTCCTATATTTAAAACAGCCATGCAGCGATTACAATATACTCAAAGTTATACCACGGACACATTACTAAGGGTTCTTACCTCCTGAAAATATGTTTTGCTGGATATATTTGCCTTTACCGGTCAACGGCTGACTGAGAAATGCTACATTAGCTGTGTGACTCAGCTAAATCAATGGCAGCTAGCTCAAGATGCGGCTAGCAAAATAAAAACACTCTCTACCACGACCTACCTGCGGATGTTATCATGTTGGCTCTTTATTCCCTCCTCAGCCCCACGATCCTGTATCGACGGTGGAATTCCGTGCGATTTGTAAGAGGAGATAAAGAGAAGAAACGATTTGTAGTATATTGAAATTCACTTCAGTGGGAACAAACGCAAGCGCTGCTACCTTCTTTTTGTCTAAAGCCGCAAGTCCCTTCCTACAGGACCTCAGGATTGGCTGTCCTCTTTTACGCCTGATTAAAACAAAAAAATACACATTATAATCCATTGTGTCTTCGTAGGCTGGTTTGATTTATAGTACTCTATGTTAGTAACTTAAAGATATGATAGTATTTTAAAAGTGTCCAAAACATTAAGAAGCTATTATGCAACACAGTTATTTAACGGATCCCATTTATGGACAGGCTTTTCTAAAGGTGGCCTATCGTGAATCAGTTGTTTTGCCATAACTGATAATAATTTGCCATCACGAACAAATATCACATTTATTCATGTTAATAGAAAAATAAGATACCCTGACCACTTGGTTTAAAAATTAATAATACCAAAACTCTGCTAACATTAGCTGACACACACTGATAAAAACACAGGATATGACACAATGTATTCTTGTATTATAAAAAACAAAAACATGTTTTGGTTTATAATGGTTTTCTGTACGTAATTTTAAATGTCTCCGGATCGGATGTAAATGGAGTATATTTATATATTTTAAAATATATGATTTAACTTTTCATTAATTTATGTAAACTATAATTTATTGTCTTGCTATGTAACCTATTTTTTGCTATTGAGGAATGCTAAATCATATTTATATTGCATATGTCCGAAAGCAAATTTTTCCCATGCCATGTCAAGAATATTTTGGATGGATTTATCACTTATTATAAATGACATTCCAACTTGTATACATGACATTTCTCTGTTTTATGTGTATAATCCAAATGTGATCATTATTATTTGTAAATAATAAAGTTGAAAACTGTGCATTTGCAAAATAAAGTTAATGGAAATCAAGGGTTGGGGGCTTTAATATCAGTAATATTACTAAATATAGAACAGTACAGTTTATTCTCAGTTGCCAACAGAAACCCTTAATATCCTTTTAGTCTGAACGAATAGCCAATGAATGTCACAATGACACAAAATTAAATCTGTTTATTTACATACTTATTTGCATGTACAGACCAGTAGCCTACATAAATACATAGTGAGTGAAAAGCAGTTACATCCAGACGCAGATAATGCTATTGCGAAAAGCAATAATCTAAGGCACACATTTCTAATGAATGAATGTAAAACATAAGAACAGATTCACAACTGTAACTGTGGTCAGATTAACCTACTGGTTAATCGTCCCAGTTAAAAAAATAAAAAAAGACCCATCAACAAAGGCCCTATTTATGTCTGTTGTGCTTTGTTAATGTGTATTCCAGATGACACAAAAACATGGGCTTTTTAAGAGCATTAGAGTTGTGGGACCAGTTGGCAATCAAGCCCTACTTGACTATACATCATGTTAAAAGAGTACTGTTGCTATAACTTAGCCTAATTGCAGTTTAAATGTTTTAAAATAACAGACAAATCTCTATTTAGGCCTCAAAATGTTTTATTAAATGATGTGAAAGTTAATACCATTGTGCATCAGGTGTAAATCTGCTAAATTACAACAGATAGGACTATTTACCAACATTTGGTTAGATGCGATGTGAATGTTAAACACTATGAAGAAACGGTGTTACATGTAATAGGGCTCTCTAACCAGATGAAGCTAACTGGTTCTTGAAAGTTAAGACAGAATGATTGTCTGCAGTGATATGCCGGCAGCTGCAGGTCACGTGTCATGACATCAGCTGTCTCCTCCATCCATTTGAGGTCCAGCCGACAGGGAAATGGTTTTCAGAGGGATACCCTCCTCTTTACTTCCGGTGTGATCTAAAAACAATGCAAACATTGTTACTAATGTGAAATTAAAATGATACAATTTAGCTGCAGCGGGACAGGTTGTCTGTCAGGGTTAACAAACTCTTGTGTGTATGATCAATCTAATGGCTGATGCATTCAATGAGTCAATCCGTTTTCTTTTAACATGCCTTATCTGTTGTTTCCTGTCAGAGATTTCCTGAATTTCTAAAATCAACTTTTCTATTTTTTTTCAGTTGCACTTTACCACTTAAAGATGAACAGACAGTGGAGTAAGATCCAGAACATTATATTTTGTGGTTAGACTTATTCTTGACAGGCCAACTGGTTAGATCTGCTTCTTCTATTACATCTGTCTTGTTTATCATCACTTCATGAAATCTGAGATAAAAACAAGCCCATTAAAGGGAATGTCCTAATGTCATTGCCAACGAGTTGGCCTTGTGATAGACTGGCAACCTGCAACCATGCCTTTTGCCCATTTTGTGCCATCTGGGTTAGGCTCCAGTTTCCTGGCAACCCTGAAAAGGACTAAGGTGGTTTAAAGAATACATGAAGAAAAGAGTTGAAAAATCCTTAGGAAATAATCTGTATAGTTTGGTTAAAACTGGACTTTGGGACGATGCTGCTACCTCTTTGCCTGCCGTTTGAAGAGTTGTTGGCCTGGCCTCTCCTATGATCCCAGGACAAACATTGGAATGGCCAGAGAAGCGGGTTCCCTCTATCCCTGGTATTATCTGAAAGGCAATAATAAGCGTTTAACAAATTGGCAGCTTATCTAAGGGCCTGATTGTTTCATGAATGTTCCCATTGTTCCGCGGCCTTTGTAGCCATGCCTGGGAAGAAACATTTGTGCATAAATGTGTGGTCTTGTGAATGTTGTGGATTGACCTACATTGTGGAGTGCACTAACACAAATCACTGCAGTGTTTGCCAGATTTTCCCGCAGGAACTTCCACTGTGTAATACTCATGAGTTTCCAATGATCTTAGGTTAAACTTTAAGGTACCCATATCACTATAAAATATTATTTTAGTTACTTCTATGGTTCTCTTAATTAACTGATTTACTTGTAAAATACATTACTATGTCTCAGTCCTGTATGAGTGGCAGGTTTTTGTGGTATCTGTACAATAGGCTAACCCTTCAAAGTGTTTTTAAAGGTGTCAAGTATACAATTTTGTGGTTATTCTTCATTTTGGCAATTGTATGCTTCATCAAAGTGACATTATGCCCTGGTCAAACAGATCACGGTTCAAACTTCATGTTGATAAATCTCTGCTGACGTGTAATCGTGTCTGGGCAAACGACAAAAACAGATGTACATAATACTATACACTTAAATAATAATGTACTATGTGATTGATAGCTTCAAAGCTATAAATAATGTATGTTATTACACCTGCTGTTTGGGATGAGTGTATGACTTTGCAGGCGTTTTTCTTGATGCTGAGGATTTTGGCCTCTGTTTTAGGGATAAAACAGCCGACCCATATTGTTTCTGGAGACTGTTTGTGGAACACAGAGCGGATCAGACTCTCCAGGAGTTGCGCACACTGATGCGTTTCGGCGCTCTCCTCTCCGGTGCCTATTAATCCAATCAGAGCTGGTCTGGCGATTCTGGCACGTCTCGTGCGTGCCTTTACGTCCTTCAGTGTCTCTTTTAAGTACAATTCGTTGGAACTTTTGCTTAAAAACGTCTGTCTGAAGACGAATATGATGACAGGAGAGTCTATAGTTCGCTTTCGGCTGTAAATGTTTGCTCTCCTCGTTGCTGTTCTCATAGGGGTGCCATTGCGCGTAGGATTTCCTTTCTCCACGTCCTCAACCACCGGACAGGCTCCCAAATCCAAATCCAAATCCGTAGGCCTCGCTTTTAGTGGTATTTCATGGCTTTTAGTCTTGGTTTTTTCGCAAACAGGGTATATACTTGCAGTATCGCCGTGCATGCCCGAAGGAGAGTTGTTGAACTCCCCGTTGCTGTAGTGAAACATGTCATTGATAAACTCCTGCAATATTCCAGAGTCACCCCCGTCCACATCTTTACTTTTACCGGCATCACTGACCAAATAAATCCTCTCTTTACCTCCGATCAAAGTTATAGTTTTCCTAAACTCCCTCTCCTCCACTGGCAGCGTCGTGTCCTCCAGGAAATCTGCCATTCCAGCGGAATTACGTCGGCGCGAATCCGTTTTATTTACAGCGAGCCGTCAGGCCAGTCTCTGCCGCCTCACAAACGCGCACACGGTCAACAGGAACACTACGAAGGAGCTTGGTATAGAGACTCAGCGTCGATTCCTATTGGCTGGTCAGTTTGACGGGCGGGACCAACTGCCATGTTTGCCACCACATGCTTGTTTCGAGATAATGAAGGTAAACTTTTATAGATAACTTATCAGTTATTTTAAATTAAACAATACCATAGAAGCGGTTTTTATGTATTCATTTTATTGTATTTATTATCTTGTAACTTATTTTCAACTGCATGCAGTGAGGAGGGCAAAGAAAGAAATGTATTGTAGGCCTACAGTAATGCAGCTTTTTTTAAATGCGCAAATGACAGTACACACTTGACTTAACTTGAGGATATAACAAAAGTAACATGGGATTCAAGAACAAATATGCAAATCTATTTTTCATACATAATACAAGTGATTGTGGGAACAGAGGGGGTGGACTGTGGGTGATGCAATCATGGTGCGAAGGTCACTCTCTTTATTCCCACTATTCTCATTGAAAATAGTCCTGCCTTCTCTCCAATGTTGTAGATTCCTGGCTTCTCAAAAAAAAGAAGAAACAAAGAGAGGGCGGTCGTAAGCAACACCTTTAACACAATAGTTTCTTGTCTCACCTGCTTTTTTCTACTCAATTGTTAAAATGGTTTTCAGCCATGCCTGACTTCTTAACACCAGAAAGGCCTCTCACCCTCAAAATCTCCCACATCAGCAGTTTGTTGAATTCTCCACACACTAATCCTTTAATCCACACATGCCTGTTCTTTAATTACAATGTGCTGTTAGCCAAAAGGCCACTCTATGTGAAGCTCATGAATGGAAATGTATTCACTTCTAAAATGAAATGACTTCAACTTCTGTCCTGATTGGTTCATTGTTTACTGATTAATACATGTTAAACCTGAATGTCTGATCAAAGACAACGCAGTGGTTTTGGTATCTGGCCTTCAGACTGGCTGAACTTTGATCAGTTTGGCGTTTTGTTTGTTGTGCAATTGTTTTATCATGCAAGTCCAACTAACTGACAAAATAACTGCTTCTTTGGGTGTCTAACACGTCGTTTATGTAAAATAAAAACATTGTTTTTTTACCATAAAGGAAATCTGTAGCAGCTCTCACTGAAAACATAATTTGTGTTTTAACCATTTGAAGCAGACACTTAATCTCTATGGCTCCACAGAGTTGTACTGTATGTGTGTTAGATAACCTACTGACCTCTTTGTTCATGGAAAGGAGGAGCTGAGGGTTGAGAAGCTCCCCTGGACCAGTGAGAGAGACACGGAGACCTAAACGAACTGCAAACAAAATTAATTTCTCAAATGAATTGTATTATAATAACATTTAAACAAGCCTTCGAACCATTATCACACCATATCATTTATTTTCCTTTAAGAATAACTTCCTTCTGAATTCTTTCTCCTTTTTGGCTACAGTTTCTATATTTAAAGTGTCTGTATACCTATTCAACAACATTCTCTCTGATTGTTTTTTTTTCAATGGACCCGCAACTTTTTTTCCTACGTGTTGTAACATTGTAAACACAGTATGAAGATGTTAATTTTTTTTAATAATGTCTGTTAATTTTTGGCTTTCACACAGGCAAAATAACTTTAGAGGAAAAAACTAATACTTAAAGTAACATTACAAATAATCAGACTTTGAAAAGTAGAAGACAAGGTGAAATATATTATTTTGCTGCCATCTTGTGGTTGAAAATGCTGCCAGGATCTGTCCCCACCACCCGAAGTAATACAGCAGTTCACAATAGTGCAGTGTTTTGAACTAATCATTTAGTTTCACTAACAAGTGCAGCTGGTCAAATATTTAATCATCACTAGTGCTCATATACAGATACTGCCTCTCAATTTACTAAACATTTTATATTAGCTAAAGAAATATAAACACTAGTGTAACGTTTTTGCTTTTTAAATGATGAACAATGCTGATGACGTTGCTCAGTTATCATCTAAAGATAGCACTATCCATTTTCAGTTCACACATAACATTTTCTTATCTCATCATGCTGTTATGAGTCGAGTGAGGAGGTTTGGTAAAATCTCACAACCTGTGATTTTCTTGTCAGACATCAGATGTCTGAGAGAAGAAAGATGAGTGGCAGTCAGAAACTTGAGAGGCAAAGCAGAGTCTTCAGTGTCAGCCGAGGAAGAGCTTCTCCTTCTTCTGACATTATTTTCTGTCATGTCGGTGTCATTTGGAGTCAGCATTGGAACGACTGTGGATATATTACCATAAAGACAGGACATTGAGCCTAATTATCACATTCAGAGTTTAATAGTTAGTTTAAAATGAATAATATGTGTGCTGGTGGAATCAGTAAAGAAAGATAACCTGTAGTGAAGAAATGCTGAGTGAGCAATTGATCTGCTGATGACCTGGTGGGTGCTGTTCTCCTTGGCCCAGATTCCCCCAAAGAACCTATATGTTTGGAGTTTAAAAAGCCTGTAGTCTCGCTAATCCTATACTTGTACTAATATTCATTGTAAACTGTCATGCATTAAACAAAAGAGATTTGAAAAGCTTCACACAGATAGGAAGAATATAGCATTGAAGGTACTTAATTTTGTTGTTATGGCTAGCAGTTTTCTTAAAGGAAAAAAAGCTTGCATGCCCTATATGATAAACACACACATTCGGATGATATGATATTTTCCCAGTCTCTGCAGTCAAGAAATTGTAGTGCCATAAAAATGACGTTCCCATATTTTCTTCCCATTTGTGTGCTTCTATTTATTTTCTGTGATTTCTGTTTGAAGAACAACTTTCCTACAGTCAACACATGTTCATTTGTTCATTCATGATTCAAAGCTGGGTTTGAACATATAGCTAAGTGGTTGGCAGTTATTAGGGGGTATTGATAACTGTCCCTTTTCAAAATGCAACTCGTCAACAGTCCTGTGATTTGTATTTACCACTTTATGGTCATAGTTGCACTTGAAGAACATCAAGATGAAAACATATATATTGGTTTTATAATATCAGCACTATAAAACAAAGATTTAAAATGGTTGTATAATTGATTTTCTACTATTTAAATTTTTTGTTTAAGTAAAGAAAATGTCTTACCAATCGTTCCAAGAAGCAGTAAAAAAAGCAGGTTACCCAAACCATTTTGGGTCCAACCTTTTAACATCAGATCCCCACAATCCGCCATCTTCTTTGTCATAGTGAGCAGCACTGGAGGAGCTGTTTCTTATAATGCCCCACTTTTAAACAACACACAATAGACAGCCAGGATTTGTCTCCTCACAAAGGCTGACATAGGGAGTTGTGGTCCCATGGGGAAAATACCAAAATGTTTTACAATTTATCTTGAAAACCTAATATGCATAAAACTTCTCATGGAAATTAAGGACAGCCCTGTTTGTAGTTGTAATCTATTATTAAAACAAGGAATGTTTTACATTCATACAACTTGGGGAAGTAAAATACAATATGAATACAAAGTAAAAAACAACAAAAGATCAGATTTAGGTCACTGATATAAAAGATAATAGTGATTTTATGTAGTAGATCAAATATATAGAGACTTTTAAATATATACACATTATTGCCTTGAGTCTTAAAATGTTGAAGATTTTATCCTGGGGCCTATGTAAACTGAGTCAAGCTTATCAACCAAAAAACACTGTCATAACACCTCTAGACTGGGAAATCCCTAAAAATGAGAACTTCACACTGAGCAGTGTGTCTGGGTTACATGTGTCCATTTTAACAACAATGATGACTTTTATATAATCTAGGTTTGCACTTTCCATACAAAAAACGCATGTAGTGAATTAAGCAAAGTCATTTTTGATTAATACAGCACAACATCCCAAATAATTGTGTGTGGAAAGAGTATGGGATGAATAACTGAAATAAAAGAAAAAACGTTTTTATACTTTTGGTCTAGTTAAAGTTTAAAAAAGGTGTTTTGTACATACCATGGCATGATGATCAATATAACAAAAGTACCTAGGACAAAGTAATTACCCTGAAGGAGTGCCATCTGAACTCATGTACCTTCTTCACTTGGAATGGAGTCTTTTATTGTCAGTTCCATCCATCCATCCATCTTCTCCCGCTTATCCGTGGTCGGTTCGCGGGGGTAGCAGTTCCAGCTGAGAGCCCCAAACTTTCCTTTCCCTGGCCACATCAACCAGCTCTGACTGGGGGATCCCAAGGCGCTCCCAGGCCAGCGAAGAGATATAATCCCTCCACCTGGTCCTAGGTCTACCCCTTGGTCTCTTCCCAGCTGGACGTGCCTGGAACACCTCCCTAGGGAGGCGCCCAGGTGGCACTGTGCCCGAACCACCTCAACTGGTGGTCCCATACTGTTTAAAATGTGGTGCATGATTATTGCCACAGATAATCTGCACTGCACTCCTAACCCTCTCTTAATAATATTAATACATACTGTGTACAGCATATTTAATATGCTGTACACAGTATGTGATTGCAATAACTGAGCTCTTCCATAAGAGGGCACTTTAGTACAAGCAGCATTATTGAAGGGGCTTATTCTCTGCTAATATTTTCTGACAATGTAATTACTTATTACACATTATTTAGTGTGTGTATGCAACATTTTGAGAATATGTAGGATTAAGCTTTAACTGATTTGTATTTTTAAATGTTCTTCGCTTTTACTCTTGTGGACTGTTTGTGTGTAATAGACTTATCTTTTGTACCTATGATAACTACAATTTTTTACTTGTATTTGTTACTAACTTAACTGCTAGTGTATAGTTTTGTGAACCCAGTCATTTGCATATACTTTAAATCACTGTTTTTGAAACCTTGAAGTGTGTGTGTTTGATTCATCATGAATTCCAAAAATGATTACACAGGATTATATCCTTGACTAAATAAAGCATTAACAAAAACGGTTTTACTGTGACTAGTTGATCAATGTGCAATGATTAAAATATCACTGCATCAAATAGTTCTCATTAAAAAAAAAAGTTAGTCCTAGTTTCAATAAGGTCTTAAGCAGTTAAACCACCATTAGATGGCAGGGTTGTGCAATAAATCCAGTAAAATAGTTATTTTCC